TGTGGCTTAACTACTAACCCCACACTAATCATGTGTAATGTGGTAACACTACTCCACACCAGGGTATGTGGTAACGGTTACTACCCACACCATGGGAATGTGGTAACTACCACCCACACCATGGGTATGTGGTAACTACTACCCACACCTCATGGGTATGTTGTAACTACTACCCACAACCATGGGTATGTTGTAACTACAACCCACACCATGGGTATGTAGTAACAACTATCCACACCATGGGTATGTTGTAACTTAACACCCACAACCATGGTATGTTGTAACACTACCCACACCATGGGTGGTTGTTAAACTACTACCCACAACATGGGTATGTGGTAACAACCACCCACAGACCATGGGTATGTGGTAACTACTACCCAAACCATGGTATGTTTAACTACTACACCACAGACCAGGGTATGTGGTAACTACCACCCACACCATGGTACGTGTACTACTACCCACACCATGGGTTTTGGTAACTACTACCCACAAGCCACAACCATGGGTATGGTGGTAACTAACCACCCATCACCATGGGTATGTGGTAACTACATACCCACGACCATGGGTATGTTGTAACTACTACCCACACCATGGTATGTGGTTACTACTACCACCACCAGGGTATAGCGTAACTACCACCCACAGCCATGTATGGGTAACTACTACCCACACCATGGGTAATGTTTGTACTACTACTACTACCCACATCCAAGGGAATGTTGTAACTACACCCACACCATGGGTGTAATGTTGTAACTACACCCCACCATGGTATGTTGTAACTACTACCCACAACCATGGTCTGTTGAACTACTACCCATCCACACCATGGGTATGTGGTTAACAAACAACTACCTACCCACACCATGGTTATGTTGTCACTAACACCCACACCATGGGTATGTATGTAAACTACCTACCCAACCATGGTATGTTTTAACTACTACCCACTAACCATGGTATGGTTGTAACACTACCACACCAAGGGTAAGTTGTAACTACTACCCACACCATGGGTATGTGGTAACTACTACCCACACCAATGGGTATGTTTAACTACTACCCACACCATGGGGTATGTTGAAACTACTAACCCACACCACGGTGATGTTGTACTCTCCCACACCATGGGTATGATTTGTAGACTATCTACCTCACACAATGGTATGTAGTAACTACTACCCACACCACGGGTAATGGTTGTAACACTACCCCACACCATGGGTATGTTGTAACTACTACCCACACCATAGGTATGGTTGTAACTACTACCCACACCAAGGGTATGTTGTAACTACTACCACCAACCATGGGTAAGTGGTAACTACCACCCACACCATGGGTAGTGGTAACTACCACCCACATCCAACCATGGGTATGTGGGTAAAACTACTACCCACACCAAGGGTATGATGTAACTACCACCCACAGCCATGGGTATGTGGTAACTACTACCCACAACCCCATGGGTATTTGGTAACATTTCTACCCACACCATGTGTATGTTGTAACTACTATACCCACAACAATGGTATGGTTGTAACTACTACCCACACCATGGTTATGTAAGTAACTACCTACCCACACCCTGTGTATGTTGTAACTACCACCCACACCAGGGTATGTTGGTACTACAACCCCACACCAGGGTTAATGTGGTAACTACTAACCCACACCATGGGTTGTAGTAACTACTACCCACACCCATGGGTATGTTGTAACTACTACCCCACCATGGGTTTGTGGATAACTACTACCCCACACCATGGGTAAGTTGTAACTACTACCTACACCATGGGTAATGTGGTAACTAACCTACCCACACTCATGGTAATGTGGTAACTACCACTCCACAGCCATGGGTAAGTGGAAACTACAATACCCACAACCATGGTAATGTGGTAACTACCACCCACACCATGGGTATGTGGTAACTAACCACCCACACCAGTGGGTATGTTGTAAATACTACCCACAACCATGGGTATGGGGTGGGTAACACTATTACACCACAACCATGGGTATGTGGTAACTACTATCCACATCCATGGGTATGTGGTAACTCTACCCACACCATGGGTATTTGGATAACCTACTACCCCACCATGGGTAAGTTGGTAACAACCACCCACAACCATGGGGTATGTGGTAACTACAACCCTACAGACCATGGTATTTGGTAACTACTACCCACACCATGGGTATGGTTGAAACTACTACCCACACCATGGGTATGTTGTAACTACTACCCACACCATGGGATGTGGTAACTACTACCCACACCAAGGGTATGTTGTAACTACTACCTACACCATGGTAATGTGGTAACTCCCACCCACAACCCCTGCAAGGTAATGTTGTGTAACTTACCACCACACGACCATGGTAGCATGTGGTTAACTACTAACCCACACCAATGGGAAAAGTGGTAACTAACCACCCACACCATGGTTATGTGGTAAACTACCACCCACCACACCATGGTTATTGGTAACTACTAACCACAAACCATGGGTATGTGGTAACTACTACCCCCACCATGGGTATGTGGTAACTACTACCCACACCATGGGTATGTGGTAACTCCACCACACACCATGGTTATGTGGTGAACTACTACTAACCCACGACCATGGTATGTTGTAACTACTACCCACACCATTGGTATGAGGTAAATCTACTTACCCACACCATGGTTATGAGGTAACCTACCCCCACACCATGGGTATGTGGTAACTACTACCACAACCATGGGTATGGTAACTACTACCCCACAAAACATGGGTATGTGGAAACTAGCTACCCACAACCATGGGTATGAGTGTAACTACACCCACAACCATGGGCATGTGTAACTACACCCAACACCATGGGTAGTTGTAACTACTACCCACGACCATGGGTATGTGGTAACAACTACGCCACACCATGTGTATGGTGGTACTACTACCCACACCATTGGGTAAGTTGTAACTACAACCCCACACCAATGGGTATGTGGTAACTACTAACCCACACCATGGGTAATGTGGTATAAACTAACTACCCACAACCATGGAGAATGTGGTAACTACTACCCACACCATGGGTATGTGGTAACTACCACCCACACATGGGTATTGGTTAACAACTACCCACGACCATGGTATGTGGTAACTACTAGTACCCACACCATGGGTATGGTGGTAACTACACCCACGACGCCATGGGAATGTGGTAACTACCTACCCACCACCATGGTATGTTGTAACTACACCCACACCATGGGAAGTTGTAACTACTACCCACACCAAGGGTATGTTGTAACTACTACCCACACCATGGGTTATGTGTGTAACTACTACCCACCACCATTGTAATTGTGGTAACTACTACCCACACCATGGGTATCTTGTGGGAACACTACCCACACCATGGTATGTGGTAAACTACTACCCACACCATGTGTTATGTTGTAACTAACACCAACAAACCAGGGTTATGTGGTAACTACTACCCACAGACCATGGTAATGTTGTAACTACTACCCACACCATGGGTTATGTGGTTAACTACAACCACACCAAGGGGTATGTGGAACTACTAACCCACACCATGTGTATTTTGTAACTACTACCTACACCATGGGTACGTGGTGTAAACTACTCCCACACCATGGTATGTTGAGAAACTACTACCTACACCATGGGTATGTGGTAACAAACTACCCACACCATGGTGTATGTTGTAACTAACTACTACCCACACACCATGGGTATGTGGGTAACTACAACCCACACCAGGGTATGTGGTAACTACAACTCCACACGCATGGGTATGTTGTCACTACCTACCTACACCAAGGGTATTGTGTAACTACTACCACACACCAAGGGTATGTTGTAACTACTACCTACACCATGGTTATGTTGTAACTACTACCCACACCATGTAATGTGGTAACAACCCACCCACACCATGGGTATGTTGTAACTACTACCTACACCATGGTTAGAGGTAACTACAACCCCACACCATGGGTATGATTGTAAACTACTACCTACACCCATGGGTATGTGGTACCTACCACCCACCACCATTGGTATGTTGTAACAACCACCCAACGACCATGGGTATGTTGTAACAACTACCCACAACCATGGGTATGTTGTAACTACTACCCACAATTGTACCCATGGGTATGTTGTAACTACTACCCACACCAATGGGTATGTCTGTAACTTACTATCCCCCCACCCACACCATGGGTATGTTTTAAGTAATACCCCACACCATAGGTATGTTTGAGTAACTACTACCGCACACCATGGTATGTTGTAACTACTACCCACACCATGGGTATTTGAAACTACTACCCACAGGCCATGGTATGTGGTAACTACTACCACACACCATGGGTCTGTGGTAAACTACTACCCACAACCATGGGTATTTTGTAACTACTACCCACAACGACCATTGGTATTTGGTAACTCTACCCACACCATGGGTAATGTGGTAACTACTACCCACACCAGGGGTAATAGGTAACACTACTACCCACACCATGGGTATGAGTGGTAACTACACCAGGCACACCATGGGTATGGAGGTAACTACCACCCACACCATGGTATGTGGAAACGTACCACCCACACCATGGTATGTGGTAACCACTACGCACACCATTGGGTATGTGGTAACTACTACCCACGACCATTGGATAATGTGGTATATAATAAGCATTATTTTTAGTTATTGAAAGGCAGAATGGAGATAATTTTAGGAGGCCTGGTTGCAAATTCTCACCATATATGCATTCGGCATATAAGGATATCTAGGCCAGATAATCCTCGTTTATGTCCATGCCTAATTTGACCTCTACTGAGGGCATGGTAATTGTTATATTCCGAGTATACAGTCAGCCCCAAGTTTACAGGATACATTTTCTTATGCTCAAAAAACGGGGCGTAAACCCAGCATAATAATTTGTACGTCTTAATATTTTTCAGGTGTTGAGTGTGAACACTGACCACATCCAAGACCCTAATGACTGGGCGGTGCTGTTTAACCTGCTGGAGTGTGCCGGTGCTGGTGCTAAACCACCACCGATGGTCAACTCAGAGCACCCAGACACCACCAGTGATGCAGGTTAGACTGCTGATACTAACATCCTCATGATACTTAACAGTCACCTATCTCATGCAGCTCCTCTATACAATAAGTCCTTGACTTACAAACACATTGAGAATCTTCTGTATCGTGCATAATATCATTATTGTGTATATTATCATCATTAATACACATACTGAATGTTCCTCAACATTTTTGTAACTTGGAGAATTCCTGTATTATGAATATTATACACAATTCAGGATGTCCCCAACGAGTTCATAAGTTTAGGACTGACTGTACAGATGGTCGTCAACTTATGACGGGGTTACATTACAATGAATCTGTCCTAAGTTGAAAATATCGTAAGTTGAATATGAATATATGATAAATAGCTACTGGAGTTACGTTCCCACGGGAAGATGTTGTCCGTCTCAATTGCCTATTTAGGTATCGATGTCCCTTAACAGCTTCTTCACCTCCTCATTTGTATGTATGTGACAAGCCCAGTGTAAGTTGAAATGAATATGGTATGATATAAGTAAATAAATAAGTACTGTCACCGAATTAACGAACAATTGCTGTAACTAAATATCCGTAATAAAAAGTAAATAAATAAATACAAGTTTATCCTATTGATAAATGTACAGTACCGAATGTGTATGACTACAGCATCATCGTAGAGTCAAAATATCACAAGTCGAACCATTGTAAAGACGAGCATCAGAACACTGAAATTTTTTCTCATCACATTTGAAAAAAATGTAATTGAAATTTAATAGCACTAAAAAGGCAATCACAGTACTACTACTATTAACTTGTGGATGTACTATCATCATAGTACAACTGTCCGATGTACTTTTTAAATGTCATTTACAAAAAATTGGTCCATAGAAGAGCTTTATAAGACAGCTGTAATCTGTTATTGAGTTTATACTATTATTATTATTTTGACAGAATTGTTTTGGCTAACAACAGTGAGGTAGTTGACCAGGTGGTTGACCAGGTGGTTGACCAGGTGGTTGAGTTAATAATAATAATAATAATAATAATAATAATAATAATAATAATAGTAATCTAGATTTCTACAAGTGTACGATACAGCTTATACACACCGTAGTTAACATTGTCATCCTATCCTCTAGGCTCAGTGTCAGACAGTGACGTGGGCAGCACCTCGGGCATCGACTCTGGCCATTGCACCGAGGGGGCGGCTAGTGATTCTGTAGAGCGCCCCTCGACTCCAGCCGGGGTGACGGATCATAATGAAGGGGCCAAGTCAACCCAGAGATCGAGAGCAGCCAGCCCTGATCCACTCCACAACACTGGGGGCTGGATACTGGTGGGTACTGGGTTTGCCAGCTGAGTACAGTGGACCCTCGGGTAACGCCTTTAATCCGTTCCAGAGAGCTTGCCTTTAACTGATTTAGCTTTTAACCGAATTAATTTTCCCCATAAGAAATAATGGAAATCCAATTTATCTGTTCCAGACACCCAAAAGTATTAAAAAAAATTTTTACATTAAATATACATTTCCCTACACAGAAAACAATGATATGTGCACAATAAACAATACTAAAATGACCTTACCATTATTGTGGACCTGTTGATGAGTGATCGAGACGGGAGGACGGGGGAGGATGAAGGTGTTCTAGTATTTGGAAGGGTAATTCCCTTCCATAAAGACCATACCACGGGCGGGATTGAACCCGCGGTCAGAGAGTCTCAAAACTCCAGACCGTCACGGTAGCCACTGGACCAGCTAGCCACAATAAGATTCGTTCAACCAACTTCAGGTAACAAGTCCTTTTCTGGGTTTACCTCCCTTCTTGGTTTTTTAATGCCACTGTGACCAGCTTGAGAGTCACTGGACCCCTGTCGCACAAAATATCTGTCTGTCCAGAGAGCTCTGTTTCTCGCGTTGTTATGCAGGGTTCTGCATGACATTGTAATGTATGTACAGTAGAGAAGGGTGTCATAATAGTATGAATGTTATATAATTCTTTCATTCAACACACCGGCCGTATCCCACCGAGGCGGGGTGGCCCAAAAAGAAAAACGAAAGTTTCTCTTTTAAATTTAGTAATTTATACGGGAGAAGGGGTTACTAGCCCCTTGCTCCCGGCATTTTAGTCGCCTCTTACAACACGCATGGCTTACGGAGGAAGAATTCTGTTCCACTTCCCCATGGAGATAAGAGGAAATAAACAAGAACAAGAACTAGAAAGAAAATAGAAGAATACCCAGAGGAGTGTGTGTATATATATGCTTGTACATGTATGTGTAGTGTGACCTAAGTGTAAGTAGAAGTAGCAAGACATACCTGAAATCTTGCATGTTTATGAGACAGACAAAAGACACCAGCAATCCTACCATCATGTAAAACAATTACAGGTTTCCGTTGTACACTCACTCGGCAGGACGGTAGTACCTCCCTGGGCAGTTGCTGTCTACCAACCTACTACCTAGGTGTTATATAATTGTAAAGCATAATTTTATAATTCATAATGTGCCTTTGGGGGTGCTGTAAAGTACTCTAATGTAAATTATAAAGAATTCCTGCCAGGGATTTATTTTCCAACTGTGTTTGGGGGTGAGCGGATAAGCGTGGGGGAGGGACACACATGGTCTGCATGGCATGAAGGCTGGCGTCGGGGATGCCGGGTATTTAAGCTAAGTTTTGTAGTGGTGTACTCCTTTTGTTTAGCTAACTCAAGCCATAGGCTCTTCTATGGTTTACCTGTATGCTCACCTAGGCTCTGACATGGTCAGGGTGCTGTGGGATGAGTGAGGAAATAAGAAATGGGGTCGGTATTGGAGTAGTGAAGGCCTGGCGCTGACTAGGCTGAGTGGTTGTGGTTGCTGGACCGCCAGCCGCCTGCTTCTTGTGACCGCTGTTTGGGCGTTTAGGATAGGAGATACATGAAGGTGTTTTCTAGTGTGTGTATATAGTGTTATGTTGAATAAATAGATATATTTTCCTAACTAGGATTTTTGCCTAACCCTCAGTTAACCAACCCATTGAAGTAACAAATACAGGTTTAGAGCTTTCTGTTTTGACTGGGATAGCCCTGGGTGGCCTGTTTATGCCTGAGTTGTGTGTAACTTTTACCTTTGCCCTTAGACAAGGCTCTAGCCCCCAGGTATCCCACCTTTCTGTGTAACAGGGACACAAGAGTGTCATTGTACATGTTGCCAATATGGCTTGCAACAGCTGTTTCAGGATAATATTCATCCATAAATGCAACTTTGTCCACATTGTACACATTTCCTTAATCTTTGATGAAGGCAACTTCCTCCATCTCTCTTCCTCCTCCTCCTCCTCCTCTGAAGCAAATTCCTGAGCTGTGATCTGTTGCTGTTGCACCTGAAGCTCTTGCAGCTCTGTAGTGGTTAGCTCTTCATCGTCGTCCTCCACCAACGCTTCCACATCCTCACCACTAACCTCCAACCTCATGGACTTCCCCAATGCCACAATAGATTCCACAGCTGGCATAGTCTTCTGAGGGTTAGCCCCAAACCCTTCAAAATCCCTTCTCTTGTACACATTGTGGCCACAATTTTCTCCAAGCAGAGTTCAAAGTCCTGCAAATCACTCCCTCCCAAGCCTTACCTATAAGGTTTATGCAACTGAGGATACTGAAGTGATCTTTCCAGAACTCTCTTAGGATCAGTTCAGTGTCTGAGTTCACTTCAAAGCACTCTTGAAACACTGCTTTGGTGTACAGTTTTTTGAAGTTTGATATGACCTGCTGGTCCATGGGCTGGAGGAGAGGAGTGGTATTAGGAACCAAAAACTTCAATTTGATAAAGCTTAATTCCCCCTGCAATTTGCTCTTGCAAGTCGTGAAGATGAGCAGGAGCATTGTCCATTACCAGGAGGCACTTGAGTGACAATTTATTTTCTAGGAGGTACTGTGTCACAGTGGGGCCAAACACTTCATAGAACCAAGCCAGGAAAATGTCCCTAGTGACCCATGCCTTACTGTTTGCTCTCCACATCACACACAATTTAGTCTTGACGACACTGTTTTTCTTGAACACATTCGTAGTTTCAGAGTGATACACCAGTAAAGGCTTCACTTTGCAATCCTCACTAGCATTACTACAAAGCATTCGAGTTAGCCTGTCTTTCATAGGCTTGTGTCCTGGGAGTGCCTTTTCCTCCTGAATAATGTAGGTCCTGTTTGGCATTTTCTTCCAAAAGAGGCTTGTTTCATCACAGTTAAACACTTGTTGGGGTTTTAATTTTTCAGTGTCTATGTACTCCTTAAAGTCCTGCACATACTTTTGAGCCGCTTTTTTGTCAACTGGCAGCCTCACAATGCCTTATCACACTGTGTATGCCACTATGATTCTTAAATCTCTCAAACCAACCTTTGCTGGTTTAATTTCATCAGTAGCAGCACTATTTGGAGGCATTTTCTTAATGAGATCCGCATGCAACTGCCTTGCATTTTCATGTATTAATGACTGAGAAACACTATCTCCTGATAATTGTTTCTCGTTTATCCACACCAACAACAGTCTCTTCTCATCTTCGAGTATTTGCGATCTCTGTTTTGTAAGCATATTTGCACCTTTTGCAACAACAGCTTCCTTGATTGCCTTTTTGTTGGCCAAGATAGTAGTTATGGTAGAATGGGGGTTTGTTATATAACCTTTCCAACTCCAAGATACGGACTCCACTCTCATACTTTGTGATTATCTCTTTTTTTAATTCAATAGTATTTCTCACCCTTTTTACCACAGGGCTGGCACTAGAAGCTTTCTTGGGACCCATGATTGTTTATTTAGCAGTTACAAGTGCTAAAAACAATGGAATAATACAAAATATGTAGCATGTACACGTGGAATCGTCCCCACTGGTTTTGTAAACAATGGCACATCTGGCTGTACAAGGAGTATGGAGTGGCTAGGCCCGCTCAGGCTGTGAGGACACGTTCAGGACAAAAGCCCTTATCCGAGTTATTTGGCATTAGCCAAGCCAATATTTTGATGCCAAAGCAAGCCGTTATCCAATTTTGGCGCTAACCGATGAAACCTTTCCCCGAGGGTCCACTGTACTGGGTGTACTATTCGGATTTTAGTGGATACCTAGTTTGTTTTAGTGAGAGAAAACTTGAACCATTGAAGCATCCAGATTGGATGTGCTATCTACCAGGTACATCAGTGGCATGAAGGTCAGGCTACAGTAAATCTGTCATATCTGATGAGCATATCTTTGTGGTACCTCCTTGGCTGCCTTCTGTCAAGGCAGGAGACCCATAGGTGGGTCTCCCTGCCTTGACATTGTAATTGAATTACAATGTGTGTTGACATCACTAATCAGATTACTTGCCTTCAGAGTGTTAGGAGTGAAGGAGGTAAGTGGTTTTTATGACTTGATGTGCTGTTGGAGTGTGAGCAGAGTAACATGAAGGTATTCAGGGAAACCTGTTAGCCGGACTTGAGTCCTGAAGGTGGGATGTACAGTGCCTCCACTCTGAAGGAGGGGTAGAGGTGGGAAGTACAGTGCCTCCACTCTGAAGGAGGGGTAGAGGTGGGATGTACAGTTGCCTTTCACTTGAAGTGGTAGAGGTGGGATGTACTGCTCACTGAAGGAGGGGTAGAGGTGGGAAAGTTACAGTGGCCTCCCACTCTGGGAGGGGTAAGGTGGATGTACGTGCCTCACATAAGGAGGTAGAGGTGCATGTACTATGCCTAACTCTGAAGGAGGTAAGGTGGATTCATGCTCACTTCTAAGGTGGGGTAGAGGGGGATGTACAGGTGCTCCACTGAAGGAGGGGTAGAGGGGGGAAAGTACATACCTGATCTGAAGGAAGGTGGAGGTAGTTGCACCCTTTCTGAGCTGTAGTGTAGGTAGCTTGGCAAGATAGTGATGGAGTGAGTGACAAGAAGTTTTCTTCTTTCTGGGTCACCCTGCCTTGGGGGAAATTTGCTGATGTGTAATAAAAAGAAAGAGTGCAAGTACTATAATATCTGTGCTTTCATGTGTTTTATTTCAGGTTGGTCGCGAGCAGACGAGCAGTGGCAGTGGAGCTGTGGCGTGACGAGTGGACATAGTACACAAGGAGTGGGGAGCACGTCGAAGCTGGTGCAAGCGTGATACCTACATTCCGGTGAGGACACGGCATTTACCACTCCAGCTGCCGTATGCGTCAAGCTTGTAGAACCTCGTGAGTACCTGATGAGGTACCCACTCGTCATTATGATGTTTCACTTGTTATTTGTATTAAGGAGCAGACAAACTTCTTTCTGTGTATTACAAAATGTAGTTAATATGTAATAAATACAGTGACCCGGGTGTACGATCAGCTCGAAGCGACCAATTATGGAAGTGTATTATTAATGCGTTTATGTGTATGTTGGGGGTCTGAAATGTAATCTAATTACAATATTCCTTAGGAACAAATTCGGTCAGTACTGGCCTGAACATACTTCTGGAATGAAATATCGTAAACCGGTGGTCCACTGTATTATTAAACGCAAAAGAAAGCCACTAACATGCATGTGCATTTCTGGCAGAGACGAACCAGTGACTTCCCATCTTCAGTGCTTGTATTAACAGGAACAGATCTATGAAGGTGGTTTCCATCTCTGTTTACTGTTGCAGGGTTGTAAACCTTGCAGTCTTTAAGTTGCACAGTTGCAGCCTCTGCATTGCACGTAAACAAAATCACCTTATAAATGCTATGTAACCCTCGTCTATAAATGATCTTTAAAACATATTTGAGGTGTTGACATACTCATTACCACCTAATGTACACCTGGTCACTTTCAACTAATTTTGTGACAAACTTCCTGGTATTATGGCCTCTTTATTCTTAGTTTACAGCTGTTGCTGCTGTTTTTATTCGTTCATAACCTTTTTTGGAGGCAAATGGTTTTTATGACTTGATGTGCTGTTGAGTGTGAGCAAAGTAACATTTATGAAGGTATTCAGGTAAACCAGTTAGCCAGACTTGAGTCCTGGAGGTGGGAAGTACAGTGCCTGCACTCTGAAGGAGAGGTGGAGATATGAACATTAAAATGGTATAAAATACCGACAGGTTGTTAGGTAAGACACATATGCAACAGTTAGGTATCTTTATTTCGAAACGTTTCGCCTACACAGTAGACTTCTTCAGTCGAGTACAGAAAAGTTGATAGAAGCAGAAGATACTTGAAGACGATGTAATCAGTCCATCACCCTTGAAGTTTTGAGGTGGTCAGTCCCTCAGTCTGGAGAAGAGTATTGTTCCGTTGTCTGAAACAATATGAAGTTGAAGTGACAGGATGGAGCCTTTATATAGTGCCAGGAGGTGAGACGTAGGTCACTAGTAGAGGTAAGAACGTAGACGTTGGGAGGTCAGGTCCCTCTCAAATCCAGCCATTCTCACTACTTCTATCAACTTTTCTGTACTCGACTGAAGAAGCCTACTGTGTAGGCGAAATGTTTCAAAATAAAGATACCTAACTGTTGCATATGTGTCTTACCTAACAGGTGGAGATATGTTGCAGTTTTTCAATATTGCCATTACAGTGGACCTTCACCTAACGATATTAATTGGTACCCGAGAACGAATATCATTAGGCAGTTTTTTAGCGTTAGCCGAGGCAAAGATGTTAGCGTTAGCCGAGGCAAAATGTTAGCGTTAAAATGTATCATTAGGCGAATTTAACGTTATGCGATGTATTCGTTAAGGGAGGGTCCACTGTAAAGGGGCATCTGAGCTGTAGTATTGGCATGCTTGTGGCAAGGTAGTGATGGAGTGAGTGATGATGAAAGTGTTTCTTCTTTTTCAAGTCACTCTGCCTTGGTGAGAGATGGTCGAAATGTTGAAAAAAAAAAAAAAAGAATAGTTATTGCTCAAAATATATTGTATACAATGTAGTAGATTGATCTTTTTTTAACAGAACTTATGACTTTTCAGGCAAGACAGAAAAACGAATCTCCAACAAGGAAGGCATGCGGTCGCCACTGCGGCGGAAGGCTACTGGACGACGCAAGGAAGAGAAGTCTGGCTTGCGAGGACCTAAATCTCCTACCACCAGCCCGAGTGCTTACGATGCGGATGAAGTCGACCTGAGCTACAATTGCAGTGCAGTAGTGATGGAGGAGTGATGATGAAAGTTTTCTTCTTTTCAACACTTGCCTGTGAAGATGGTGAAATGTTGATAAAAAAAAAAAAATAGTTGATTGCTCAAAATATATTATACAATGTAGTAATTGATCTTTTTACAGAATTATGACTTTTCAGGCAAGACTAGAACCAACGAATTCCAAAAGGAAGGCAATGCGGTCGCCACTGGTGGCGGAAGGTACTGGACGCGCAAGGAAGAATTGCTTGCGAGACTAATCTACTACCACCAGCAAAGTGCTTACGATGGTGAATCCGACTGACGACGACCAATTGATCGTACCCAAGTGTCGAGAAGGTAATATATTTGATTTAAGTACCGATTACAACTTTACAGACCTAGCGACACAATGACATACACATATAGAAAGCCCTCAGGTATGAAAGCATTTCAGCATAATTGGCCAAGATTGGTAGGGAATGTGGTGGTACTGGTGTGCCAGAAGTATTGTGTAAATTGTGGTACAGTGGAACCTCAAATATCGAACTTTCTTCAGTCCAGAAGGCTGTTCGAGTGCCTTTACTGAATGAATTTATTCCCATCAGGAATGATGTAAATTACATTAGTCCATTTCAGACCCTCAAAAATACACTTATAAAAGCACTTACAAAAATACACTTACATAATTGGTTGTGTTGGGAGCAGTTCGATTTTTGAGGTTCCATTGTATGAGTCAACAGGCAATGTGAAAGATACTATGAGTGTAGAAAACCTTAAACCTTAATTTAAACCATCCCTGCCCGTGGTATGGTTTGTTTACATGTGAAACATCTGGGTATCTTTATAGAACAAACAGGCCCCACTTTACTAATGCAGTAGTTTTCAGTTATAGCCGTTATTTATTTATTTATTCAGACTTCCTACGATATATTCAACACTCACTTATAAGCTAAGAATGAAAATATTTAACAAATAACAAAAAAGGCACAATACCGTGACTGGAACGATACACAAATAACCCGCACATAAAAGAGAGAAGCTTACGACGACGTTTCGGTCCGACTTGGACCAAGTCGGACCGAAACGTCGTCGTAAGCTTCTCTCTCTTATGTGCGGGTTATTTGTGTAATGAAAATATTTTAATGTAAGTAATGTGTGTACTGTATATGTATTGTTTAGACCTGACTCTATTGTTCACTTAATATGTTATCAGGCTTTTAAATGCATTTGAAAGTGTTCTTTCATTTTACAGCAGTAAAGTGGAACCTAACCTGCTGTATGAGCAGGGCCCTGTTGTACGCAGTAGCCTGGAACCTAACCTGCTGTATGAGCAGGGCCCTGTTGTTCAGCAGTAGCCTGGAACCTAACCTGCTGTATGAGCAGGGCCCTGTTGTTCAGCAGTAGCCTGGAACCTAACCTGCTATATGAGCAGGGCCCTGTTGTTCAGCAGTAGCCTGGAACCTAACCTGCTGTATGAGCAGGGCCCTGTTGTTCAGCAGTAGCCTGGAACCTAACCTGCTATATGAGCAGGGCCCTGTTGTTCAGCAGTAGCCTGGAACCTAACCTGCTATATGAGCAGGGCCCTGTTGTTCAGCAGTAGCCTGGAACCTAACCTGCTGTATGAGCAGGGCCCTGTTGTTCAGCAGTAGCCTGGAACCTAACCTGCTATATGAGCAGGGCCCTGTTGTACAACAGTAGCCTGGAACCTAACCTGCTGTATGAGCAGGGCCCTGTTGTTCAGCAGTAGCCTGGAACCTAACCTGCTGTATGAGCAGGGCCCTGTTGTACAGCAGTAGCCTGGAACCTAACCTGCTGTATAAGCAGGGCCCTGTTGTACAGCAGTAGCCTGGAACTTAACCTGCTGTATAAGCAGGACCCTCCTGTAGATGTTTCTCCATCTAGTGGTTTTATCAATACAAAGTGAAATATCCACAATAAAGATACCTAGACGTTGCATGTGTCAAATTCTTTATGATCAGTTTTGCCCACCCTGAGTTCTGTTTTTAAGCCAAATCCTTTGTCAACTCATGATTCTATCCTTGCAGTTGCTGGACCTGATGGATACACTACACACAGCATCTAGTCACATTGTGGGTCTGGCCGACCAGCCGCTGCAGCTGGCATCGTCGCCCTCGCTCTGGCCACAGGCACTATGTCCTCTCCTCCAGGGTATTGCTCGTTACTGCTGCGACTCTCGCACTACTGTGAGTTCCACTCCTTGGTCCTTGACCAGTTTTATGATAACACACAAATAACCCGCATATAAGACTGTAAAGAACAGCACTTTTGCAGGCCTACTGGCCCATGCTAGGGAGGTTCAAATCACACCCACCAGTAGTTCTAGCACAGTGCTCCTCCATTCTTCCAGTAGTCCTAGCACAGTACTCCCCCAGTCTTACCAGTAGTCCTAGCACAGTGTTCCTCCAGTCTTAAAGGTCACACTCGTTGCAATCCTCAGATCCGCAACATGGCGATGACATACCTACAACGAGCGTTGCTGAACCACGACTTGCAGGCTCTGAGTGCCGGGGAGTGGGAATCATGCTTCAACAAGGTGCTCTTTCCTCTGTTGGCCAAGCTACTGCAGCCACTACCAGGGTCCAGTCCAGCCTCCCTGGAGGAGACCAGGGTTCGAGCGGCCACACTCGTCCAGAAGGTGGGTGGAGTTGGTTGTGGTTGCAGGGGTCGAGTCACGGCTCCTGGCCCTGTCTTTTTGCTGGCGGCTGCTAGGTTCACTCTCTCCATGCTCTAAGAGCTTTATCACATCTCTTATTAAAGCTGTGTGCATGTGTATGTATTGTGTGTGTGTGTATTGTGTGTGTGGTGTTTTTGTGCCCTTTTTAAAAGTTCTTTTTGTACAGTTAGAATTTCTGATGATAGTTTTTAATTCCAGGTGTACCTGCGTCATCTGACACCCCTGTTAACCCTGGCCACCTTCACGGCCCTATGGTTAACCATCCTCGATTTCATGGACAAATACCTTAACACCCATCGTTCAGATCACTTGGTGAGCGAGGTCACTGTAAGTGCATGCTCGCTGCATGGTTATTTGATCATGTTTACACTGGCTTGGTGTCCTGTGGCTGGGTTGGTAGTGCACTCAGCTCACTGAGGTCTGTGGTTCAATCTCCAGTATGGGTGGAAATATTGGAACGTTTCCTTAAGACACCTGCTGTCACTGTTCACTTAGCAGTAAGTAGGTACCTGGGTGTTAGTCACCTTGCACCTGCTGTCACTGTTCACCTAGCAGTAAGTAGTTACCTGGGTGTTAGTCACCTTACACCTGCTGTCACTGTTCACCTAGCAGTAAGTACTGTAGATACCTGGGTGTTAGGTGACTGGTGTCATCTAACACCTAATGGTAATAATAATACCATTGCTGGTAATAATAATACTATATCTTTCAATAAATAACAAAAAAAGGCACAGTACCGTGACTGGAACGATACACAAATAGCCAGCACATAAAAGAGAGAAGCTTACGACGACGTTTCGGTCCGACTTGGACCATTGTAAATGGTCCAAGTCGGACCGAAACGTCATCATAAGCTTCTCTCTTTTTTATGTGTGGGTTATTTGTGTATATATCTTTCAACACACCGGCCGTATCCCACCGAGGCGGGGCGGCCCAAAAGGAAAAACGAAAGTTTCTCCTTTTACATTTAGTAATATATACAGGAGAAGGGGTTACTAGCCCCTTGCTCCCGGCATTTTAGTCGCCTCTTACAACACGCATGGCTTATGGAGGAAGAATTCTATTCCACTTCCCCATGGAGGTAAGGGGAAATAAACAAGAACAAGAACTAGAAAGAAAATAGAAGAAAACCCAGAAGGGTGTTTGTATATATGCTTGTACATGTATGTGTAGTGTGACCTAAGTGCAGGTAGAAGTAGCAAGACATACCTGAAGTCTAATAATACTATATGTCTCTATGTAATTTTTAAAGGGGTGGAGTGGTAAGCCAGCAGAAGGCCTCGGTCAAACGACCAAAAGCTCCAGCTGTGGGTCACCACATAACTAAGACCTGCGTCACGAAACACTTATCCTGTTTCCTGGAAAACTTAACCTAACCTCTTTCCTATCATAGTTATGGCTCAGCATCAAGATTCTGGGGTTAGCATTGGTTAATCCTGGCACTTCCGTATGACCATTGTGGGCTGGGTTCACTGCTTAGTTTTGATTGTAATAATAATCGTAAGAGTGACATCTGTAAGAAGTGAGTCTATTAGTATAAGATCCTTGCCCCACTTTAATTCTTTTTTTTTCTAATTCCTTCCCATATTTTTCCCCACACCAGCTGTACACTCTGTCCGTGTGTCTTAAACCACTTCTCCAAAATTGCAGAGTGATGCCATTCCGGAGATCCTGAAGAACATGCTGCTGGTGATGGAGACTACTCAGGTGTTCCACACGGCTGATGGCTTCACTCGCCTCTGGACTATCACCTGGGATCGCATAGATGCATTCTTGCCGGACTTTCGCCACAACCTCTTTCGCAGTCACCCACCTTGTGAGTTCAAGCGATATATTTGAAGCAGAATGCGTAACAATACACAAGATGGGAGTTTACAAGTTTTAAAGTTTTTAAACGTACCTTATATGATTATCATTCACACGGTATGATTTATTAATTTTATTTTCGGCATGTACAGGTAGTCCTCAAATTACAATGGGGTTACTTTCCAAAGAACTCGTTGTTAGTCGAATATGAATATAATACAGTGGACCCCTGGTATTCGATATTAATCCGTTCCTGAGAGCTCATCGAATACCGATAATATCGAAAACCGAATCAATTTTCCTCATAAGAAATAATGAAAATCAAATTAATCCGTGCAAGACACCCAAAAGTATGAAAAAAAAATTTTACTACATGAAATATTAAGTTTAATGCAATAGAATAATTACAATAACAATAAAATAATTGACACTTACCTTTAATGAAGATCTGGTGGTGATTGATGGGATGGGAGGAGGGGAGAGGTGTTAGTGTTTAGTAGGGGAATCCCCTTCCATTAGGACTTGAGGTAGCAAGTCCTTTTCCGGGGTTACTTCCCTTCTTCTTTTAATGCCACTAGGACCAGCTTGAGTCACTGGACTTCTGTCGCACAACAAATCTGTCCATAGAGCTCTGTACCTCCCGTTCCTTTACGATTTGTCTAAAATGGGCCACAACATTGTCATTGTAATAGTCACCAGCACGGCTTGCAATAGCTGTGTTAGGGTGATTTTCATCCATAAAGGTTTGCACTTCAACCCACTGTGCACACATTTCCTTAATTTTTGAAGTAGGCACAATGGATTCCACAACTGGCATAGGCTTCTCAGGGTTAGCCCCAAACCCTTCAAAATCTTTCTTAATTTCCATACTAATTCTCACCCTTTTTACCACAGGGTTGGCACTAGAAGCTTTCTTGGGGCCCATGGTGACTTATTTTGCAGAAACAAGCACCAAACACAGTGATAATATGGATAATATGGAATGTACCGAATGTATCCTTAGATGCACGCACACTGGCTGGCTTGTAAACACTGGCACACACGGGGCAGTTCAGGCCACGTGTGGACAGGTCTCGTACGAATCGTATCGAATATCGGGTTTTCAATCGAATACCGAGGAAAATTTTTTGCGATATAATGCATCGAATACCGGATTTATCGAATACCGGATTTATCGAATACCGATGCCATCGAATACCGGGGGTCCACTGTATACTAAATAAGTCAATAAATAACTACTGTCACTAAAATAAGTAAATAAATAATTACTGTAACTAAATACCAGTATTGAAGTCAATAGATAAATACAAGTTATGGGGTTGTCGTCATCATACTAGGTAATTAAGTTTCAACTTTGAAGTAATTGCTCTTGCATCATCGCAAAGTCAAAATATCGTAAGTTAAGGAGCATCTGTGTTTCTTATTTAAAATCAAAATTTCTGTTTGGTATAATATTTCAGCGGAGATAAACAGTATAAATGCTGCATTTGTGTCTATTTTTGCCATCGTTTTCCAGCGGAGATCCACAAGATAGAGGTGGTACCATCCAAGAGTTGCGTCAAGTCTCCTCTGCCGCCGCTCCCTGATGACATGAGGGCAAGCCGTGCCATGCCAGGTGGCATAGCTGTACCAGGAGCGGTGCAGGAGCCCTCGCCTCAGGATGCCACCAACACCGCCTCTTCCAGCCCTTGTTCTGACGGAGAGGCGTTTGCACCTCCCACCTTGAGGGAACAACAGGCTGCTAGGTATGTAACCTGAGGGATGGTCAGAGACGTTGCAGTTCACTGAGTTGCTTGAATTGCGATGTTCACACACTTACGGCAGGACAGCTGTTGAATGAACGATGGTGAATGTGTTTCCTCTTTTGTGGATCGCTCTTTCTTGGTACAAAACCTTTAAGACAGTAAATTTTTTATTTGTTACTGGTGGACACACTTAACTTCCCGAGTCTTCACTGTGATTAATCAAAGTGATATATCAGTGTTATTAATTTCATTATTGTTGTAATTCAAAGAATTGGATCTATCCTGTTACTGCAGCCAGCAGTAACAGCCTGGTTGATCAGACCCTCATCCACCACAAGGCCTGGTGTCAGACCAAGCTGCAGGGGCATTGACCCCCAAAACCCTCTTCAGGTATACTCCAGGTAGCCTTGGATTAAACTTGAGTCCTGGAAATGGGAAGTACAATGCCTGCACTTTAAAGGAGGGGTTTGGGATATTGGCAGTTTGGAGGGATATGTTGTGTATCTTAACCATACCCCTCGTGTCATTATGATTTCTTGAGTCATGTTGTGTATCTTTATACGTATATGCTTCTAAACTGTTGTATTCTGAGCACCTCTGAAAAAACAGTGATAATGTGTGAGTGTGGTGAAAGTGTTGAATGATGAAAGTATTTTCTTTTTGGGGATTTTCTTTCTTTTTTGGGTCACCCTGCCTCGGTGGGTCACCCTGCCTCGGTGGGTCACCCTGCCTCGGTGGGTCACCCTGCCTCGGTGGGTCGCCCTGCCTCGGTGGGTCGCCCTGCCTCGGTGGGTCGCCCTGCCTCGGTGGGTCGCCCTGCCTCGGTGGGTCACCCTGCCTCGGTGGGTCACCCTGCCTCAGTGGGAGACGGCCGACTTGTTGAAAAAAAAAAAAAATCTACCATTTCCTATGTTCAGATTCAAATTTATATGCTACACAAAGAAATAAAAAGTATTGGTATACACAAAAAAAAAAAAAACATGTTTGAGCATTTCAGGCAGACTAATCCATATGTTGTAAACCCACTTTGTGGGTTTACCATCACCTCATGAGTATAACAGTTGGAAATAAATGGTATAAAATACCGACACAATGGAAACATAAACACATATGCAGTTTAATGTGATCCTTTACTGACGTTTCGCCCACACAGTGGACTTTTTCAAGTCTCAAACAGATCTGTTTGTGATTTGAAAAAGCCCACTGTGTGGGCAAAACGTTGTCAATAAAGGATCACATTATACTGCATATGTGTTTATATTTCCAGTATAACAGTATAATAATCTTTATTGCTACAAGTACATGATACACAAACCATAGCTGACATTAATGACATACTACTATATAGAAAGACCCTTGTTATGCAGAGCATTTTGGGCAAATTAGGTTAGTTTTGTCCCCAGGATGCCACCCACACCACTCCACTAACACCCAGGTACCTCTTTTATTGCTAGGTGAACAGGGACAGCAGGTGTAAGGTAACTAACATCCAGGCATCTACTAACTGCTAGGTGAACAGGGACAGCAGGTAAGTTAACTAACATCCAGGCATCTACTAACTGCTAGGTGAACAGGGACAGCAGGTGTAAGGTAACTAATATCCAAGTACCTACTAACTGCTAGATGAACAGTAAGGTAACTAACATCCAGGTATCTACTTACTGCTAGGTGAACAGGGACAGCAGGTGCAAGGTAACTAACATCCAGGTATCTACTTACTGCTAGGTGAACAGGGACAGCAGGTACAAGGTAACTAACATCCAGGTATCTACTTACTGCTAGGTGAACAGGGACAGCAGGTGCAAGGTAACTAACATCCAGGTATCTACTTACTGTTAGGTGAACAGGGACAGCAGGTGTCTTAAGGAAACACGTCCTAATGTTCCCAGCCATACACACTGGTTGTCTTACACCAGTCAGAGTCATCCCCGAAGAGAAGAAAATTACAGGACTTTAAGTCCGGCTCACTGGAGACCTCTGAATGCCTTCAAAAAAAATTTCCAAACTCACACTCCAACAGCGTGCCTAAACAGCAGTTCCAGGCTGCTCTTTAGGCTGTTGGAGTGTGTTTTTCTTCTCTTTACATCTACTAGTTTATATAAGAGAAGGGGTTATCAGTCCCTTGCTTCCTAACAACAATAATAGTAATAATAACAATACACATATAACCTGTACAGAGGAGAGAGGAGTTTACAATAACACTTTGGTCTGACTTTGACCGTTTACAGGTTATCTCTGAGTCAGGAGTCTCTGCCGACTAGCTACGGCAATGCCATCATCCTGCAGCCTCCACTTCCGACCCTCCTACCCGCCGCACTGCCAGGCTCGCCCTCCTCATCCTCCGGGGCAACGGCGCTCGCCCAGTCGACCTCTCAGGTACGCACACTGCTTTTATTTTTGTGTATGTTGCATCACCAGTGTTAGTTGTTAATTTTGTGTGTGTTATATCATCAGTGTTAAGTTTGTGTTAAATTATTAGCACATAAAGATTGTATTGTGTTGTATCACCAGTGTTGTGTTGTATCGCCAATATGGTGTTACGTTTGTTGAGTGCTCCTCTGAAGTAATTATTAAAAGCTTCTTTGGCTTTTTGTAAGCCTCACAGCTATTGTTAGATCAGTATATAACATGACCAGTTGTGCGGGTGTGAGTTGGACCTGTCTAGCATGGGCAAGTAGGCCTGCTGCAGTGCTTCTTCCTTCTTAAGTTTTTATGTAAATTTTTGTTGCAAGCATAGTAAGCAGAAGGCTCTCTCCTGAACCTCCTCAAAAAGTAATGAACAATAGTTTGTATCGACTTGATCAAGCTGATGGAGGGCAAAACGTTGCCATGAGAAAAGTCTTGCTAGTTTCTCTCGTGTCATCTTGCCTGACATGTTTGTTACCATTATTTATGCACATTTATGTAATTATTCTTATTAGTTGCTGCTTCATTTGTTGTTTAAACATATTGCTTATATTTATTATTTGCAAAAGTTCAGTATATAAATGTTATCAACTTAGTTGATTTTGACGTTAAGTTGACGGGACTTCGGTTAGTTTTGCACCTGCAACTTGTCCATTTTATAATTTTAACAAAGATGTCATCCGTCTGCGGGTACGGTGTCCCGTGTAGTGGTAGCATTTTATTTTTAAGTTGTTTTTCTTTCCGTAACTCAGATGCCGTCATCAGTACACGAGGCCAGTGGGAGTTTGGTCACTAGTTCCGTACCGACCACCCTGCCATACCTCAGCCCGTCCTCTTCGCCATACTCACTCTCTCCTGTCGACCCTACAGCTGTTTTTCCACACGTAGTCTTGCATGTGGAGCCACCCACACCACCCACGCTACCCATTTCTCTTCCTGTAACCCACGCTGAATACTCAATGCCCATTTTGAATTACCAAGATACTCTGGTGTCACACACACACACGATCGCTGACTACTCGACGACACCTCTCACACAGTTGTCTCCTCTCATGCAGCCGTCTCCTCTCACACAGTTGTCTCCTCACATGCATTCGTCTCCTCTCACGCAGTCGTCTCCTCACATGCAGTCGTCTCCTCACATGCAGTCGTCTCCTCTCGCGCAGTCGTCTCCTCACATGCAGTCGTCTCCTCACGTGCAGTCGTCTCCTCTCACACAGTCGTCTCCTCTCACGCAGTCATCTCCTCTCACACAGTCTTGTGTAACCTCACCAGTGTTACTTCAGTACCCCAACTACAATACATTGCCTCTGCCACACTCATACACTGACTCAGCGTGTCTTCATCCACAAGTGTCCTTGTCACCCAGTGCAGCAGCGGTGCAGAAGGTTCCACATTACACAGGAACGTTCACCTATCGATCTGAAGGTGAACCTGTGTCATCCTCATCTACAAGTCATAATGCAATTAGTTACACTGGCAATACTTCTCCACAAACTTTCTGTTCCCCAGCAAACTCTGTGAGCAGTGAAAGTTTTTTTTATGATAAGCCAGGAATGTCTCCAGATAATATTGGTCACTTTTATTCTCCAAGCGATTTCACAGCCGGTTATTCATCAAACTTTACAAATTCGTCTCTTCATTCGGAACTTCCTGCGTGTGACATCCCTGCACACAGCACTCATGACTCCACCCTGGCCAGTACATCCATCACCTGTCCATACCTTGCTACCACAAATGCCTCTCACTCTGCTGCTTTTCCCATTGTTAATGCTTCGTCTCTTGCAAGTTCTGCTTCCACACCCCCAGGTGATCACTCGGCCTACAGTTTTGCTGACAGCTATGTTTCAAACCACACCAGGAGTGCACAATTTACCCAAAATGCTTCTGGCTTGTCGTCCAACCATATTTCACCTCTTAGCAATGTACCTGCCATAGACTATGCCCTCAGTATAGCTAGCACCAGCACAGCTAACACTAGCACATTACCTGCCACAGACTGTGGCCTCAGCATAGCAAACACCAGCACCACACCCAGCACTGCCATTGTATCACCCTCCCCAACCTCCATCTTCCCTATATCTCTCCCGTCATTCCTCAACCCATTTTCTACGGATGACGTAGAGTCAGACTCTCCAGGCACAAGTGGAGAGTCAGCCGGGGTTAAAACATCTTTACCCGATCCTGCAAGTAGTGGTGTTCCTCCTCCCTGTCCAGCTAAGGTACTCTTTTTGTTCATTTCCATATTATTTTGCCCATTTTTTCACCTATTTCAGCTTTTTTGCAATTTTTTTCAGTTTCACCGTCTTTTATAGTGTACAGTGGACCCCCGGTTTACGATATTATTTCATTCCAGAAGTATGTTCAGGTGCCATTACTGGACGAATTTGTTCCCATAAGGAATATTGTGAATTAGATTAGTCCATTTCAGACCCCCAAACACACATACAAACACACTTACATAAATACACTTACATAATGGGTCGCATTGGGAGGTGATCGTAAAGCGGAGGTCCACTGTATATGAGGCTTCTTATATTTTTTTTAAGACAGGTATTTCGCACCAAGGCAGAGTGACCAGAACAAGAAGAGACACTTTCATCATCACTCACCCCGTCACTGTCATGCCAGAGGTGCACCCCATACTACAGTTAAAAAAAACTGCAACATATCCCCGGCCATCCTTCAGAGTACTTCCCACCTCCAGGACTCAAGTCCAGCTAACCTCTTTCCCTGGATAACTATGATGACACTTAAACAGCATATATTCTGCCTCTTGTAGAGCATATATTCTGCCTCTTGTACAGCATATATTCTGCCTCTTATGCAGCATATATTCTGCCTCTTGTACAGCATATATTCTGCCTCTTATGCAGCATATATTCTGCCTCTTGTACAGCATATATTCTGCCTCTTGTACAGCATATATTCTGCCTCTTGTACAGCATATATTCTGCCTCTTATGCAGCATATATTCTGCCTCTTATGCAGCATATATTCTGCCTCTTGTACAGCATATATTCTGCCTCTTATGCAGCATATATTCTGCCTCTTATGCAGCATATATTCTGCCTCTTGTACAGCATATATTCTGCCTCTTATGCAGCATATATTCTGCCTCTTATGCAGCATATATTCTGCCTCTTATGCAGCATATATTCTGCCTCTTATGCAGCATATATTCTGCCTCTTGTACAGCATATATTCTGCCTCTTGTACAGCATATATTCTGCCTCTTATGCAGCATATATTCTGCCTCTTATGCAGCATATATTCTGCCTCTTGTACAGCATATATTCTGCCTCTTATGCAGCATATATTCTGCCTCTTATGCAGCATATATTCTGCCTCTTGTACAGCATATATTCTGCCTCTTATGCAGCATATATTCTGCCTCTTATGCAGCATATATTCTGCCTCTTATGCAGCATATATTCTGCCTCTTATGCAGCATATATTCTGCCTCTTGTACAGCATATATTCTGCCTCTTATGCAGCATATATTCTGCCTCTTATGCAGCATATATTCTGCCTCTTATGCAGCATATATTCTGCCTCTTATGCAGCATATATTCTGCCTCTTATGCAGCATATATTCTGCCTCTTGTGCAGCATATATTCTGCCTCTTATGCAGCATATATTCTGCCTCTTGTACAGCATATATTCTGCCTCTTATGCAGCATATATTCTGCCTCTTATGCAGCATATATTCTGCCTCTTATGCAGCATATATTCTGCCTCTTATGCAGCATATATTCTGCCTCTTGTGCAGCATATATTCTGCCTCTTATGCAGCATATATTCTGCCTCTTGTACAGCATATATTCTGCCTCTTATGCAGCATATATTCTGCCTCTTTGCAGCATATATTCTGCCTCTTATGCAGCATATATTCTGCCTCTTGTACAGCATATATTCTGCCTCTTATGCAGCATATATTCTGCCTCTTATGCAGCATATATTCTTGCCTCTTATGCAGCATATATTCTGCCTCTTGTACAGCATATATTCTGCCTCTTATGCAGCATATATTCTGCCTCTTATGCAGCATATATTCTGCCTCTTGTACAGCATATATTCTGCCTCTTATGCAGCATATATTCTGCCTCTTGTACAGCATATATTCTGCCTCTTATGCAGCATATATTCTGCCTCTTATGCAGCATATATTCTGCCTCTTATGCAGCATATATTCTGCCTCTTATGCAGCATATATTCTGCCTCTTGTACAGCATATATTCTGCCTCTTATGCAGCATATATTCTGCCTCTTATGCAGCATATATTCTGCCTCTTATGCAGCATATATTCTGCTCTTATGCAGCATATATTCTGCCTCTTATGCAGCATATATTCTGCCTCTTGTACAGCATATATTCTGCCTCTTATGCAGCATATATTCTGCCTCTTATGCAGCATATATTCTGCCTCTTATGCAGCATATATTCTGCCTCTTGTACAGCATATATTCTGCCTCTTATGCAGCATATATTCTGCCTCTTATGCAGCATATATTCTGCCTCTTATGCAGCATATATTCTGCCTCTTGTACAGCATATATTCTGCCTCTTATGCAGCATATATTCTGCCTCTTATGCAGCATATATTCTGCCTCTTATGCAGCATATATTCTGCCTCTTATGCAGCATATATTCTGCCTCTTATGCAGCATATATTCTGCCTCTTGTGCAGCATATATTCTGCCTCTTATGCAGCATATATTCTGCCTCTTGTACAGCATATATTCTGCCTCTTATGCAGCATATATTCTGCCTCTTGTGCAGCATATATTCTGCCTCTTATGCAGCATATATTCTGCCTCTTGTACAGCATATATTCTGCCTCTTATGCAGCATATATTCTGCCTCTTATGCAGCATATATTCTGCCTCTTATGCAGCATATATTCTGCCTCTTGTACAGCATATATTCTGCCTCTTATGCAGCATATATTCTGCCTCTTATGCAGCATATATTCTGCCTCTTATGCAGCATATATTCTGCCTCTTGTACAGCATATATTCTGCCTCTTATGCAGCATATATTCTGCCTCTTATGCAGCATATATTCTGCCTCTTATGCAGCATATATTCTGCCTCTTGTACAGCATATATTCTGCCTCTTATGCAGCATATATTCTGCCTCTTATGCAGCATATATTCTGCCTCTTATGCAGCATATATTCTGCCTCTTGTACAGCATATATTCTGCCTCTTATGCAGCATATATTCCGCCTCTTGTACAGCATATATTCTGCCTCTTATGTAGCATATATTCCGCCTCTTATGCAGCATATATTCTGCCTCTTGTACAGCATATATTCCGCCTCTTATGCAGCATATATTCTGCCTCTTGTACAGCATATATTCCGCCTCTTATGCAGCATATATTCTGCCTCTTGTACAGCATATATTCCGCCTCTTATGCAGCATATACTCTGCCTCTTATGCAGCATATATTCTGCCTCTTATGCAGCATATATTCTACCTCTTATGCAGCATATATTCTGCCTCTTATGCAGCATATATTCTACCTCTTATGCAGCATATATTCTACCTCTTATGCAGCATATATTCTGCCTCTTATGCAGCATATATTCTACCTCTTATGCAGCATATATTCTGCCTCTTATGCAGCATATATTCTACCTCTTATGCAGCATATATTCTGTCTCTTATGCAGCATATATTCTGCCTCTTATGCAGCATATACTCTGCCTCATATCTGCCTCATATCTTTCAACAAACCAGCCGTGTCCCACCTAGGCAGGGTGGCCCAAAAAGAAAAACAGAAATTATCTTTTTAACTTTAGTAAAGTATACAGGAGAAGGGGTTACTAGCCCCTTGCTCCCTGCCTCTTATATACAGTGGACCCCCGGTTTACGGTATTATTTCACTCCAGAAGTATGTTCAGGCGCCAGTACTGACCGAATTTGTTCCCATAAGGAATATTGTGAAGTAGATTAGTCCATTTCAGACCCCCAAACATACACGTACAAACGCACTTACATAAATACACTTACATAATTGGTCGCATTGGGAGGTGATCGTAAACCGGGGGTCCACTGTACTGTGAATATAGTTTTGTTACTCTTTTGCTGGGTAACATAGTCTGTGTTCATGTGAAGATTTGATGTGCTGTTGGAGTACGAGCACGGTAGTATTTATGAAGGGATTCAGGGAAAGTGGTTAGCCAGACTTGAGTCCTGGAGGTGGTAAGTACAGTACCTGCACTCTGAAAGAGAGGTGAGGATGTCACAGTTGAGAGGGTCATCTGAACTATGATGTCAGCACACTTCTGTCAAGACAGCGACTGACTGAATAATGGTGAAGGTTTCCTCTTTTATTGTGGTCACTCTACCTCACTGTGTTAAAATTTATTTAGAAAGAATACTATATAGACATGTTCAAATGCAGGTTATTAGAAATAATAATAAATAATAATAATAATAATATAATAATAACAATAATAATAATAATAATAAATAATAATAATAATAATAATAACAATAATAATAATAATAATAATAATAATATTATTATTATTATTATTATTATTATTAAGAAAGCCTAGAGAACAAATGGATTTGTCAGTTAAAAATAGGAGAGGAGAGTTATTAAATGGAGAGTTAGAGGTATTGGGAAGATGGAAGGAATATTTTGAGGAATTGTTAAATGTTGATGAAGATAGGGAAGCTGTGATTTCGTGTATAGGGCAAGGAGGAACAACATCTTGTAGGAGTGAGGAAGAGCCAGTTGTGAGTGTGGGGGAAGTTGTGAGGCAGTAGGTAAAATGAAAGGGGGTAAGGCAGCCGGGATTGATGGGATAAAGATAGAAATGTTAAAAGCAGGTGGGGATATAGTTTTGGAGTGGTTGGTGCAATTGTTTAATAAATGTATGGAAGAGGGTAAGGTACCTAGGGATTGGCAGAGAGCATGCATAGTTCCTTTGTATAAAGGCAAAGGGGATAAAAGAGAGTGCAAAAATTATAGGGGGATAAGTCTGTTGAGTGTACCTGGTAAAGTGTATGGTAGAGTTATAATTGAAAGAATTAAGAGTAAGACGGAGAATAGGATAGCAGATGAACAAGGAGGCTTTAGGAAAGGTAGGGGGTGTGTGGACCAGGTGTTTACAGTGAAACATATAAGTGAACAGTATTTAGATAAGGCTAAAGAGGTCTTTGTGGCATTTATGGATTTGGAAAAGGCGTATGACAGGGTGGATAGGGGGGCAATGTGGCAGATGTTGCAAGTGTATGGTGTAGGAGGTAGGTTACTGAAAGCAGTGAAGAGTTTTTACGAGGATAGTGAGGCTCAAGTTAGAGTATGTAGGAAAGAGGGAAATTTTTTCCCAGTAAAAGTAGGCCTTAGACAAGGATGTGTGATGTCACCGTGGTTGTTTAATATATTTATAGATGGGGTTGTAAGAGAAGTAAATGCGAGGGTCTTGGCAAGAGGCGTGGAGTTAAAAGATAAAGAATCACACACAAAGTGGGAGTTGTCACAGCTGCTCTTTGCTGATGACACTGTGCTCTTGGGAGATTCTGAAGAGAAGTTGCAGAGATTGGTGGATGAATTTGGTAGGGTGTGCAAAAGAAGAAAATTAAAGGTGAATACAGGAAAGAGTAAGGTTATGAGGATAACAAAAAGATTAGGTGATGAAAGATTGAATATCAGATTGGAGGGAGAGGTATGGAGGAGGTGAACGTATTCAGATATTTGGGAGTGGACGTGTCAGCGGATGGGTCTATGAAAGATGAGGTGAATCATAGAATTGATGAGGGAAAAAGAGTGAGTGGTGCACTTAGGAGTCTGTGGAGACAAAGAACTTTGTCCTTGGAGGCAAAGAGGGGAATGTATGAGAGTATAGTTTTACCAACGCTCTTATATGGGTGTGAAGCGTGGGTGATGAATGTTGCAGCGAGGAGAAGGCTGGAGGCAGTGGAGATGTCATGTCTGAGGGCAATGTGTGGTGTGAATATAATGCAGAGAATTCGTAGTTTGGAAGTTAGGAGGAGGTGCGGGATTACCAAAACTGTTGTCCAGAGGGCTGAGGAAGGGTTGTTGAGGTGGTTCGGACATGTAGAGAGAATGGAGCGAAACAGAATGACTTCAAGAGTGTATCAGTCTGTAGTGGAAGGAAGGCGGGGTAGGGGTCGGCCTAGGAAGGGTTGGAGGGAGGGGG